AGCTTTAAGGCTGATTGATTTTATTCGGTGTTTTGTTTTGGAAGGAAGTAGGATATATTTTGTTGGTGGAAAACAATACTGATCAACCACTATGATATTGTTTCTGTAAACAATTCCTTAAACATGATATGTTATTTGATCCTTGCTTAGCCAAGAAAGTAATTTACTTGATCAGTAAATTTCTTACTAATTCGGGTTTTTCCAAAGATATAAGAAAACTATTAACTTCTAGTTTCATTTATGTAAAACTTCCAAGCTTTAATATAAGGAATCAGGTTACTTACATCTAAGAATACCACATAGTTATTTATATTACTCAGTTCAAACTCGAAGTGAAAATCGTATACATGTTTGTGAACTACGATAGATCAAAAATAGCCTACGTATTCCAAATAAAGTAATATGTAAAGAATCGGTCACATGTAGTGCGCTCGATATTAGTTGAATTCATTCGATTAGAACTGGTTTTATTCAATGGGACACTCAAAAGCTTCCAACGATTATTCTCAATCAGCACCGACGGCTGTTTTGTCTATTCACTACTTTCTTATACTGTAGCTGGGGAGTTGCTGAGAACGACACAGCTGGTAAGGCAAAACTGTTGAGACAGTTCTGTGACCCCCTGTTGAGGAAAACCCTGTATACTCATAAGGCCAAGTACAGAATTTGAGTTAGGGAAACGCTGGTATCATTAGAATGAATCGCGACAAGTCTAGGTTTTCAGGGGGAGTCAAAAGCAATAACGAAAAAAGGAGGAAACGGAAAGTAATGGCAAAAAGTGGTTGTAATAAAGGAAATGGATAATTATTAAATAGGTGGGTGTAATGAGGAAAACTGGAAGTGATGGAGGGAAATGGGTGTAAAGATAGCAAAGGACAAGGGTGCAATTACGCAAAAAAAAAGAGTGATGGTGGATCGGTTATAATGTCAGATAAAGATATTTCTTATCGGTTTGATCAGTAAAAGTTTCATCATTGATTTTTGGTTTGCTTGTGATTAATTAACCATTTTTGCCGACGAAACAAGGCAAACCTTGAACCTCGGATTTAAAGCCCTGGACGCTAACCACTAGGTCACGCTCAATCCTTAATGGTTAAAATATACAGTTTAAATTCTTTAACGGGTAAACTAGAGAAATTATAACAAATAATGTATTAAAATATTAAACCTAAGTTTATCCGTATATTGTGTGTCCCCCAGTGGCACAGCGGTATGTCTGCGGACTTACAACGCTAGAATCCGGGTTTCGATACCCGTGGTGGGCAGAGCACAGATAGCCCATTGTGTAGCTTTGTGCTTAAGTACAAACAAACATTATATTCTGCCCCAGTGACACAGCGGTATGTCTGCGGACTTACAACGGTAGAATCCGGGTTTCGATACCCGTGGTGGGCAGAGCACAGATAGCCCATTGTGTAGCTTTGTGCTTAATTACAAACAAACAAACATTATATTCTGTTAGTTCACTGGGAACTATTTTAAGAGATGACAGCTGCTTGTAAAAGAAGGATATATAAACATCGTGATCTCACCCTTCACCGAGGGGGGTTGCACTACTCCTGAAAAGGGCCATAGTTGTTTTCTTAACTATCCATATTGAAGGATTATCGTTAAAACCTTTACAATAAAGCTACACAAAAACATTCCGTATTGGAAGAGCTTTGAAATATCGAAAACAGTGTCTGACAATGCAATACTTAAAACAATCGTACATAAAATATGGCTTTTTTTACCATTACCAAAAGTTATAACTTTACATATAACTCAACTAGTGAATTCAAAACCCGCATTCCTGGTCACGTGACACAACCATTTTCCAAGCTATTTACAATTATTCGTGTAATATGATAGTGTTGAATGGCCTGTATATGAAATATGCATATTTCGGGTCCCTTGTCGTCATTTCTTTACCCTACTGAGCAAACGTACTTTATGGAACACATCCATTACTCACAACCTATTGGTACAATATAATTAGATTTCAACCCTCCTGTTTGAAATCCCCATTTTAAAGTCAGAGTTAGATAGACCACTGCCAACGTACTCGTTCGTCCCTGGGCATGATGAGTCATCATCCTCGTGCAAAGTAGTCAAGTCTGTCTAATGTAGCCTTAAGCCACAGAAACAAAGCCATGGGGACGTTCATTGCTGTCAGCCAGAACTCGATTTGTGATTTTTGTAGAAGTTTTTTATGTATATACAGGATGGGGTGAAATATGTGTGCCCATTAAGATGACTGTAATTGTGTCCTGGTAGCGAAAGGTGCAATCCTTCATATTTGCAGGTCAAAAAAAAAAAATCGTTAAAAATAACTGAAGACACGAACTCTTATTTTAACGGTTTTTTCCTCACATATTTCCTTAAGAACTATCCTACTTATTAGTTAGCTTTATTTCAAGCATTCCTATACGAAAACAAAGTAGGAACCTCTGGTGTTTTGATATCAAACGTAGATGTTAATGGCAAAAGTTAGTTTATTTACTTCGGATATTCGTACAAAGCTACACAAGGGATGTCTTTACTAACCCTTTTATATTTTGTACTGATAGACTAAAAGAGAAGGTATTGTTTGTTCATTTGTTTGTAAT